ATTCTTTTTCCTCCAGTCCTCTTGCCCCAGGGTTTTCAATGTCCCCTATTCAGGCTTTTTTTGCTTTCTTTACCACAGGTGGTTAGTCTGGGGCGTTATGTGGCAGGTGCTTATCTGTTTGAATTCTAAAGTCCCAGAGCATTTTAGCTTCTTCATTGTCTATGACTTTGTTTTGTGGTCCCACCAGTTCTTGTTTGCAGGCAAGTGGTGATTCTTGCAGATATTCCAATGCATCATTGTTGTTACTTTGTCATGCCATTGTTTGTAGTTAGTCTGTGCAATCTTCTTGCAGCAGCTAACAGTGGACTCACTGTTTCTTCAGCTTCTTTGCAGAGGCCAGCATTTGTTGCCTGTTGCTGTCTTCTCAATTCCAGCTTTATATGCATTTGTTCTTAAGGCTTGGTCTTGTGCAGCCAGAATTAGCCCCCGTCTCTTTCTTCAACTTTCCTGCTTTTAGCCATTGCCAGGTCTTATTGTTATCTGCTTTGCCTGCTAGTTTTTTTTTGCCTATGATTATGATTATTACTATGCCAGTAAGCAGCAGCAATGGTAAAACTGAGTCATTAAGTATACTTAACTTAGGAATACTGAAATCAACCTACATATTTGCGAAGCTCTTAGACTGTCTTTAAACATACTTCCTACAACTTAATTTGGTTAGGACAACATATATGAAATCTCTTTACAAAACTACACTTAATTTTCAATGTTCTTTTTACTACTGCTTTCCAACAAGAATCCTGAGTGTCCTCCATCTATCCTCTACAGTTATTACTGTAGAGTTATTTCTCTTAGCTACCAAATTAACACATATATAAAAATATGAGCTTTACTTTTTAAAGTTTCCCAATGTGTCACTCTCAAACACCACAGGAATACAAGTTTTCATAAAAGGTGTCATGACATGCGACAAAGGACTAGTCTGTTGCAGTTCTTCACTTTTAATTTCTACTTTTATCCATATATGCACAGGTAGGTTATTTATGATATGCATTTTTCTGGTAGATGTCGAATGCACACAGACTTCTCCAAAGTCAATAGTGGAGGGACCTGGAAGGAATAGAAAAGGCATGTTTTATAGAGAAGGGGAATATAGTGCTATAAATCATAGCACACATCTATATATGTACAATATGTTTATACAATTCCTATCTCATTTTTGAGATCACACATTCTATGTGGGGCTCCCCTCAGAGTTGTCCAGGGACCACACCGAGGGCAGACTCATGCATTTAGGTTACTCAACTCCCTAACCACACAATGAAGGCTCTGCATCACCTGTCAATTAATTACCAAGTCATTTTCAAGGAACTGCTATTGATCCTGTAGTTTAGGGCCAGTTTATTGCTGAAATCATCTATATCTATTTGGTTTATTCAATCTTCGTACAGGAGAGGATGCACTACTGACCACAACATTGCTTGCTTATATTCACTCAGTTGTGGTAGAGAAGTATTCTCTGTAATGATGCCCAGCTGGTGATATAAACTTCCCACAGATTTTAAGCTGGCCCCCACTGTGAAGTGTTTTTACAGAAGTTGAAAATATTTACTTTCCAAAGGCTTTCTTTGGTTTTATCAGCTTTTCAGTTATTGCCTGTTTACTGTTTGTGATTGTATATTATTTTGTAGTGTTTAAGGGTATGTGTGTATCCCTATATTTCACTGTATTTATTATAACTATTTTCAAAATAACATTTTTTAAAAATTGAAAACATTACAATACAGTCTCATTTGTAGTTTTCTCTCCCTTTCTGCAGATAGGGGATTACTGTAATGACAATAAATTTGCTCAAACAAAAGTCAGCTGGTACAAATTAAGAGGGATTTTTTTTGGGGGGGGCAAACACTAAAATACTACATGTGATCAAGAAAACTTTCATAAGTCAACTCTTCAGAGTAAGTTGGCTTGAGAGAAAAAGAGAGCAATAGCCTCTGGAGCACTTAGTCTCTAAGGATCCATAGTCTTCGTGCTAATTCATCCATATGCTCTTCTAGAATTATTCCACGTCTCCCCAATTTTCCACTTGCCTATACAATAGTTGGTGATTTAAGACAGGAAAATTTGTTTTATCAAATCACTGTATTACCAATGACTACTTGGTGAAGCTGTTTTGGTGTCAAAATTAGACTGCAGTCTTCAATTTCTTGCTGAGACAATGGTTCAGGATTAAGTCCACCATTCACCTATAAAAATAGTCCAAAAAATCACTACTTAAAAGAGCTTAATTTGTTTAGATACAAAAGCATCACATCTATTTTCTTGTCTGATGATACATGAATATCCTGAAATCTGAACCCAAAAAATTGTGCCTTTGTGATTATTAAATTAAAATGCTTGAGAAAATTTGGCAGGCTCATACTGTTCTTTTCCCATTTCGAAGATTTATAGCAGACACTCCACCTCCCCTGAAGAAATGTAATTCCCTCTAAAGAGGCACCCAGGACTGCGAGTCCCATCATTGCCTAAGAGCTAATTTTCCACTGGAGGAAAACAACCTTCTAGGCTTCATGGATTACCTCCCTTGCAAAAACAGAGACAAATATCTACTCTTTCTACCAGTTCTGAGAAGTCACTAGGTCACTGATGGGTAAAGACTGTGGAGCAGGTGATCAGTACTCAAGCTGAGCAGGCTCATTGCTTTCTCACAGATAAACAGCAGGCCCTGCTCAAATAACATACACTTGCTCAGGGGAATATTAGTTTTGTAAGCATTCCTATTTAGTTTCTCATGCCAACAACCTCCTCCACTTTTATTTTTGCACTGCTACAATGAATCCACATTCTTTACCTTCTTCTTAAATTCAATCCATAAATTGTTACCCTGGCTGATATGCCTGTACATATTTATATTTTGGGGAGCTATCCGTTTCCATTTAATGCTCTTTTTTTACATAAATCTCTCTCCTTTACACAAACACACACACACACACACACCACCTTTCACTAATATTTAAATTAAGAAAAGCAATGCTGGATCAGGATAAATGATGGGAATGTCATGCAGAAATAATATCTCTGCAACTACTAGAAATAAATATATATTTATAAAAATGCATGCTTTGGTCTAACTACTTGATACCTACTGCTGCTACCAGCTATCTTTCAGGAGCACCTCACCTGGCATTCTCCCACTATCCCCAGCCCATTAGAAAGATAGTGTCTGGCCCAGCCCAAGAACAATGATGAAACAGTCCAGCCCAGTACAATTCCTTTATTAGCTTACACCTTACAGACAGAATCTTGCCAAACTAAATCTATACTACAGCAACTACTGGATATACCCTGTGAGATTCTAGGGAGTGGCTATCCTGAACCTCTTTCGCTTCCTACGCTCCTGTTGCAGACTCAACTGCCTCTTGCCTCCTCCTCTCTCCTGGAATGCACCCCCTCCTTCCTGATAGCCTTGAGCCTCCCACATCACTCTCCTCCTCATAGATACATTCCATCACAGGGCTCCTAGATTGTGTTGCCCTCTTGGCAAATGTAAAAGTAAATGTGGTGGGAAAAAAATGAAATTATTTCTACATTATAATCTCCCGGCCCTATAGAATATAGGCACATGACTAGAGGTTTCAGCCCTTTCTTCCCCCTTTAAGAGTTAAAACAATTCACAAGAGATTTCTAAGAAATCAAAGCTTATTTAAAAGAGGGGAGGAATGTAAAAAACTACTTTAATTTTAAATATCAAAACTATAAATATGCCAGACTGCAGAAAATGGATTATAGAGATGCCCTAATTTATTAATATACAGCAGTTGGCAAATCACTTATATGGAAAAATCTAAAAGACCACAAGATGGCACTGCTCCACTAACAAATGGCATGATCCCCTTTGTGAAATGTGAGATGCTGCAATGCAATAATACAGACTACAAAATATTCCAAATAAATTTAATATCTTCCTGCCAATCTTAAATATAAACAAACAAAAGCTGGCATTTAACATCCTGTTTATTTTATCATTTTTATAGCCCACCCAACTTAAAAGACTCTGGGTGAATTAGAGTCAAATAGAGTAATATAAACATAAAATATCAATGCAGTTTCTAATTATAACATTTTCCCCGTTGCTATAGGCTCTGCCACTTGGATATGCCTTTTCCCTGGTAATTCCATTTTAATCAGATGCTGGAGGAGATCAATACTAACTTCTTCCTTCTCTCCATCTTAGCATGCAGCTTCCCTGGGTGTCTGCCTCCAGTTCTTAAAAGAACAAAGTGTTTTCCTATCCCAGGAAGGGGGAATTGGAGAACTGGATTATGCCCACGTGCCAAACTCTTGAATGTTGACTGAAACTCAACTGTCTGTGAATGTGGAAAGGGAGCTTGCATGATGCATATTTACCACAAGACATTTTGGAGAAAAAGGCTGCAGGTTGATGCAATAGACTGTAAATAATTTATTCTTTTCTAGAAATAAATCTTATTAATTTAATGGGAAATTAAAGGGATTAGAGGAAATACAGAGAAGAATATGAAAGTACATTTACACGGTTAATAGAGCAGAGATAAACAATATATTATAAGTCAAGTATATTCTGAGAAGCTAAAAATAAGGTAGGTCATATTCAACAATACTAAACATACCTCTTTTTGTATAGACTTCGATTCAATCTCTGCTAGCTGTTTACTAGTTAGCAGGCTATTTCCATTTACACAAGCAGCTTGTTTCTCCAGGTTATCATGATTTAAAATTCTGAACCTAGGAGATTTCAGCCCTGATGCTGGGTTTAATCCTATGTCCACAGGATTATTAAGCATTTTGAAGATCCTATTGGGTCAGAGTAATGAAAGAGAAGTCACATTCAACTATCTAGCACATATATTGCACAATTTTGAGCAAATTTAGACTTAATATCTTTGCTAGGTGTTTTATTAACTGAATGCATATAATATGAGGGGAAAGTTCCTTCAAAAAATGTCTTGCCAAACTGTTATTGAAAACTCTGACTGATGTTCAGTTCCACAAAGGCTACCATAGAATGTTTTCTTCCAAAGTAATTACTGCATATTTTCCAAAACCAGCTTTGTCCAAAGTGATGATGAAAGTAATATTCTCTTAACAATATCATTGCTACCCTATTTGCTTACAATGAGATCTCCAACTTAGGGTGCTCCAAATCAGTGGCATTTTCTTCCTTTGTTCACTCATCAGCCTCAGAACTGCCAGGAATTCATGTCTGAAAACTTTATCAAGACTGATGGACAAATGTTTTCTTGCCTCACTTATAATAGCAGATAATAACCATGTGAGTCCTCCAGAAGTCTGAAGCCTATGTGATACCAAGCATTTCAAAAGTAATATGAGGCAGTTAGTTCACAATAGTCAGTTCTGGCGCAATATGGTTCATGGGGTCACAAAGAGTCGGACACGATTTAATGACTAAACAACAACAACAAGTCAGTTCTGATATAGCAGGAATCTGAGGATTTTTACACTATTGACTTGGCGGATGGTGATATTTAAATAGACATTCCATTTCTTATTTATTCAATTCTTATTTATTTTACAATTCTGTAGAGTAGCAGTACAAAATGTTTGTTTATTCATTTATTTATTTATATATCAAATTTGTCACCACCCATCTCATTGAAAAGCGACTAAAAATCTAATACAGCTTGGTGAAAGTGACACCACAAAGGTGAGATCAATTTGTAAGCAGTTAGGATCAGAGCTGATAACTGGACAAAGCAAGTAAAACTGGAATCTACATAGATTTCATATTCTCATATTTATTTGGATACACAGAATTATTTCAACATTTGAGACATGATTTACAAAAATTAGTCATATTAGAAAATAGGACTTTGCAGTGTTTTGGAAATAATTTTGAAAAGGTGCTTTGGACTATTCAGGATCACCCATCTGCAGCTCTTTAAAGCAGCCTTGTTTTTTCCCACTGCAGCTGCTAAATGATGTCAGGAAAAGACACAGCTGCTTGTAAAGGCTGTAGACTAGACATGTTTCTGCCTCTGTATTTTCTGAAGCACTGATTTCCAAATGCTTATTAGATTATATACAGATTTAAATAAATTAAAAGAAAGAAAGAAAAGATAATATAATAAATGTTTCAGTGTTATAGTATTTGGGCATTTTATCTGGAGGCAACTTACTGAGCAGCTTTTTTATTTAAACGAAGTTTTCTTAAATTGTGAATGTAGTCTGCATAATAGTCTTTATTCATTTGCTTTTCCAGTTCTTCATATACTGTGTAAGAAAACTCTGGATCTATGTAACAATATCTGGGAACTTTTGTGAAAATAGTCCTAAATCAGAACAGTGAAATACAACTTCATCAGTACATGGAATATCGAAATATGCATTGAAGATGCAAGATATTACTCCTTTTACTACATTTTTTTTTCTTTATACCCCCATTATTCCACTAATCATTACTATATTTGATCAGGCAAACACAAAAATAAGGACAAAATAATTGGAATTTGATTTAGGAAAGTATTAACAGCATATGCTTCTGCACAAATAAAAATCACTTACAGAATAAAATAGATTTCCAATATAAAAGTAATATTCACTGTGGCAAAACAATCATATAAAATAATAAACATAATAACCGTACGTCCCGAGATCATCATTATTGATATTACTACCTGTAATCCTTATGCAACTCAGCAGGTCTTATGCTGGCTGGACGATCGTTGGGAAGAGCTACTAGCGCATTGCTTAAATTCCTATTAATCCGGTGAGCATGTAATTGTGTCTTATCTGACTTAAGCAGTGCTACTGGTGCAACATCACTCTGTTGATCCCCCTTGTTAGCTATAAATATCCCCGTGGCATTGGAAATCAATGGTGTTAAACCTTGGGTCAGGATTTAAATAAAAAGTAAATTATATAGGACAAGCAAAACAAAATATAAATTACTGTATTTTATTCCCACAAATTCCATAATATTTTATTCACAGTAACATTTTTTCAGTTAAGGATCATATTCACACCTAACCTCCCATAATATAACAATTTTCAGATTCAACTTTGTTTAAACCTGAAATGAGTTTCAGTAAAATTGACTGGTGATTAAAAAAACAAAGAAAATAAATAAATTACATCATTCAAATAGCTAAGCAAAAGATATTACACAGAACTTATCTTTCAAAATATACTAGTTAGTACTACATATTTGATTTCTATTTTATGGTACAGGAATACAGTCATGTGAAAAAGAAAGTACACCCTCTTTGAATTCTATGGTTTTACATATTAGGACATAATAGAAATCATCTGGTCCTTAGCAGTTCTCAAAAGTAGATAAATACAACCTCAGATGAACAGCAACACATGACATATTACACCATGTCATCATTTATTTT